GTTACTAGGTTATAAACTAACAACGTGACAATATGTCCCACTTGTACCAGTATGCAGTGTAGGTGTAGCAATGTTGATCCCAGGATATTAGGGAGACAAGGTGGGTGAAGAAATATCTTTTATTGGATCAATTGGTTTTTGGCAGGAGAGAATCTTTTGAGCCACACAGAGCTCTTCTTCAGGTACCTTTTCCAGGCCTGAAGAAGAGCTCTGTGTGGTTCAAAAGCTTGTCTGTTTCATCTACACAAGTTAGTCCAATAAAAGATATTGCCTCACCCACCTCTCCGCTTTTACCAGAACAGTCCTGTTTTTTCATTTTGTCAATCAAAATGTTTGGGGGATTTTATAACTACAAATTTTTTGTTTGAGATGAATTGCTATGCTGAATAGAATTTGTTCTGTCTTTACCAGGAATGAATAATCCAGTGGAACAAGTGTTCAGTGTGATGAAGTGTTTAGAGAGAAAAGTTGAATGAGATTACACATTATCAAAGCTGTTATTTTGCTCAAAAGAACATTGATGACACTTGTTCAGTGTTTTCATGATAAGCTCATTCATGGGGGGGGGGGGGGGGGGAAATCTGTCCTCTGAGAAATATGCATGACTCCGTTCAGTCAGGAGCTGGCAACAGTGAGCAGCACACATTGTAAAAAATACATACTTTTGTCTCTTGAATGACTACTTTACAATCCTAAAAAGTGTAGCCACAAAAGTGGCCCAGTTTTTAAACACCACTTAGCACCTAATGTAGGCAAAGATAGGCATGTTTAAAAAATGTAATTAAAATATTACTACCACATGAACCACAACCACTGGCATTTGTTTGGGCATGAGCATGCCTAGTGCCCCAGGATGCAGTTGCAAAGGCTACTGTTATAGCTCCATTTCAGGAATGTTGTCATTTATTTCTAGAGATGAATACACAATAATTTGATTAATCTAGCTTCTTTCTGTTTTCAGGATTCAAAAAGGAATTTTTATTATATGGATTGATGGTGAATATTCAACATTCAGGCTACTTGCTTAGTTATGATTGGCTACATAAGTTGCATGCTATTGTTTGCATGAAAGTTTAAAATCTGGGTTTCTGCAAATACTTCTACAATCTCCTTCAAATTTTGCTTTACATGAGTAAAACTTGATTATTTGTTCATGGAAAATGAGCATGAAAGGGGTGTGAACAAGTCCAAAGTGAATTTATTTATATATTCAGACAAATATTCACAAAAAACTTTGAATAATTTACACAGCTTTTTAATTCCAGTATGACTTGTATTAAAATTCAGAATGTTGCATGGAAATTTGAATGATAATTTAGTTCTCAACATAGCATAGTATATTTTCAGTTTCTAAGTGTGAAGAATTTTAATTAAAATATCAATCTATCTATATATAGTAGACAGTATTTTTAGCTCTTCCAAAGTAATAATGCACATTATATTTATTATTTATATTGTGTAACACCTAGGGATGCCAGTCATAGACAGTTCCTGCCCAGAGGAATTTACACTCTACCTTCTTTACACTCTACCTTCTCTCAGGTCTGGGCTTCAAAGAATTTCTCTGAGCATGCTCAGACAAGACCCCAACTTCATTCTCATTTATAGTAATAGGGAAGACCAGAGCTGCATGTTTTGTTTCTGCATGATAAAGCTGAAGTAGGATGTGTGGGTGTTTCATGGAATGTGTTTTAATGCTGTTGGATTAGGTATATGCTCTGTAGAACTGAATTTCTGCTGAATAGAGACTTTAAAATCTGACTGCTTGACATACAGTCTTGAGTAATTATTTTGGATGGTATTTTCACATATAGAATTGATTTTTTAAATAAGATAAAACAAGCACTTTTATGTCTGAAATTACGTTGATGGAGTCTGATTTTTTTTAAATATCATCAATTAGAGGCAGGCATTAGTGATTAGAATTCTTATACATAAAGTAATGAACCATAAGAGAAAATGCAATAGAAAGATAACACATTTTCATACAAAACTTAAAAGACAAATGCACAAAATTACACTCGATGAATTAACTTCATGCAGATTTTAATATGACTTTTGTGGTTTATAATCCTGTTAAGAGTCAATCTGGAAAATTGCTCTGGAACTATGAAAACACAAAATCAAATCATGTTGAAGACTAATGGAGAAAGAGCATAATACCAGTAAATGTGTTCTCTTCTATTCTATGTTCACAGGGAGGGCATATTTGTTATATTTTTCTTCAAGCACATAAAAGGTGCAAGACTGCAACATAAAATGTGTATCTGCTTTTTATTTTTTAAATATCTGTCAAGATATGACTTAATGCTAAAAAATGCAATGCAGAAAATTAATCACTTACAATATAAGATTAATGGGAGTTCAACCATTTATCACGTGTTATATAGGATTTCATTTTGGTGATAGCCCGCTCACAATTTAAGCACAACCTGCAACCAGTACAACCGTATAAATCACTAAAATTGTCCTTGAGAATGTTATATCTTGATGAAACTTCTATGCTTAATGAAATTAAAACATTTGATCATCTCCATATCTACCTAGTTCCCCTCCCCTGTATTTAGCTATTAATTTAGTGTGATGGTGTGGGTAACTGGACTGGTGTCAATGTGATTTAGGGGCCTGCTTATACTGCCATCTCCACTGGATTTATCTGGAATAATTTACTTTTTAACAGCTTTTGCTGGGGCCTATTGCACTAATGGTCCAACTGCATACAAAGTGCCAGGCCAATCAAATATTTAATGACAATAAACATCAGCTGGCAGCAATGCACAAGTAGAACATCCTGACTAATCAGATATAAAAGGGAACTGATACAATGAAGAATTAAACACAATGAGAGAACCAGACAATCCCCAATACTCTAAATAAACAGAAGTAGGGAAAAAGCGATGCCCTTACTTACAACCCATGAAGCTCTATTGAAGTCAATGTGGTTGTATGTAGAATCAAGTTAGAATTTTTAGACATTTCTGTGAAATGGAGAGTTAACATCTAGAGCAGTATCTGCACTGTCTAGTGTCTTCCTGACGTAAATTTGAACTCTTGAATCAAGAGGAAAGTAGGTTTTTTTAATAAAATGTATGGGCATGATAGTTAAACAGAACTTGCAGCATAGTCTTTACTATGTTTAGAAAGAGCTAAACATGTTTTTTCTGCCTCTATATTTATGAAGACTGATTAACCATCTTTTATTTTATTTTTTTTTTCTGTGATTTCTCTTTGCTTCACGCATGGGTCATGTGTGAATATTTGCAAATAATGTTGTTATAAAGATATTCCCAGTCTTGATCTCTGTGTTGTCCATATTTAAACTTGGTTGTCATCCATCAACTAAAGGGGGAAATTAGCCTAAATTCACTCTTGGGGGGGTAAATCCATTGAAGTTAGTGGAGTTCCATCAGCATTAATTTGTCCCATTCTGTGTATAAGACGTCTTGGACATGAGGTTTAAGATACTACACTTTGCTTCAGCCTCATTTAGGGTGACCAGATGTCTCTATTTTTCTTCTATAGGTACCTATTACCCCCCACCCCATCCTGATTTTTTACACTTGCTGTCTGATCACCCTAATGTTGCCAGCACAGATAACTGGTTGCTTACATATTCCAATTGCACCTGGCTTTTGAGGTTGATTAGAGTTTAAACATGGAAGGATAGAGTTTGGTTCACTTAGGCCTAGTGCAGGAAGGCTTCATTGACACTTTGTGGCCTTCCACCCTCCTGAGTTACCTAGGGTGATGCCTAGTGACGTCAACAACTCCCTCCTTTGAGAATACTCAACAAGCCTTTGGCTGAGTTTTCTCATATTCTGTGGACAAGATATGATTAAGTGCTATGAAGCTGGGGTTTTCAATGAGAGGGTATGCCTGGATTTTTGAGGAACGGGGGGCACAAAGCTTACGGAGGAGCATCTTAAAACAAGCAATCAGGAGGAGGGTGACCAGGCACAGTACCACACCTGTGAGGAGGAGACGCACAAGGCCACCCCTTAGTCCTCCTAGGTCGGGCAACCAACTTCAAAGGGAATCGAAACCTGTGGGTTCCCTTTCCTGAGCCTCCCACTGCTCAAAAGCCTGTTCGGCTGACAGGACGTGCTTGTTAATGTCCTGTGAGTTTTCCGGGACCTAAGTACAACATTCATTCCCAATAAGGGCACACACCCCGCCCTGGGAGGCTAAAACATAATCTAAGGCCTGTCTGTTTTGCAGGGACAGCAACCGGAGCTGGTATAGCTTTGAGTTAAGGCTCTTCTCTATGGCCAAGGTTTCATTGGCGAACTTGGTGAGAAACACAGAGAGCCTGCGATAAAATTGGGTTAGCCGTTCCACCCCATAGGATGGGAGGAGGATCATACCCAACCTGTCTCCTTCCTTAATGGGCTCTGAGGTGGCATACAAAGATTTACGCAGCCTGGGGTGGCCAGGGGTTGTCCCTTAATGCATACTGGGATTCAATGGTACAGTTTTGCGACAAGGGGGTAGCCGAGGTATTTCTTCCCCTACTGAACCATCCCCAACAGATATCTGACCAATTTGGGGGGACCACCCTCCAGGGTAACCCTGCTGCGTGGTGCAGGATTTGGGAGCATACTTAGCAGTTAGAGAGGTTAAACTCTTGGGCAAAGCAAACCTTCAAGGACTCATATGTGTTTGTTCCCAAGTTAGTAGGGATCCCTTTCCATCCCACATGTGCCTGGGGGGAAACGGGAGGTAACGAGAGGAGTGTCCCTATGGCAAAGAGTACCAATATGGCAGACCCTGGACCTGAACTCATACTGGGCAGGTGACCCTAGGGCCTAACAATTACAATTCCCCAAATACCCACAAAATATCAATTACCAATAGTAGGCAGATTAAAAACAAAAGGGACCAGAACACCAGGTTAGGCCGGCCCTGTGAAAATAAACACAACCAACGCTTAGAGTTTTCGCGGGGAGTGCACTGCGACTGTCCAAAGAGACCACAGGGCATTCCCAGCAGGCTTTATTGTATTTTGAATAACAGTTTAAGTCTCAGGTCGTCACTGGTAGTCCTTTTCCGTAGGCTGGATGGTCCACCCTTCAGGAGCGGGCACTGCCTTCAGACTGGAGTGATGAATCTAGTTCTTGTGTCCTTCGACCTTTGCTGCTGTGTGGGAGACCAGTAGGACAGTGCGGGGTCCCTTCCACTTTTCTTGGAGAGGCTCGTCCTTTCAGGTCCGAACAAGAACGGAATCGCCTGGCTGCAAGGAGTGGACAAGGGCATCCAGTGGGAGAGGCTGTAAATCTCTGGTATACCTGTGGAGAGAACAGAGAACAGCAGACAGAGAGCACATGTACTGAGATAAGAAACCACAGCCTACCTCCCACTCCCCTGCCAGAACCGGTGTACCATTCATAGGCCATGCCCTTCCAAACATAATCTCGAAGGGACTGAGCCCTAACCTGCCCTTTGGGAGAGCGCGAATGCGGAGCAAAACAAGGGGTAAAGCATCAGGCCACTTAAGGGAAGCCTCTTGGCAGACCTTTGAGAGGTGCCGCTTAAGTGTCTGATTTGTGTGTTCCACTACTCCACTGGCCTGCGGTCGCCATGGAGTGTGGAGCTTCCAGGGGATTTGCAGGGCATCCGATATCTTTTGAATGACTTGGGATGTGAAGTGTGTTCCGTTGTCAGATTCCATTCACTGGGGGAGTCCGAAGCGGGGAATGATCTCCTTGACAAATTTCAGAGCCACCGTTTTGGCAGTGTTGTTATGGCATGGGAAGGCTTCAGGCCATCCACTGAATCGATCCACCAAAACGAAAAGGTATTTGAATCCTTGGGTCCGGGGGAACTCAGTAAAGTCTATTTGCCAAACCAGCCCTGGGCCTGGGGTAGGTTCCAGAGTGGCTGGTGGCACTGACACTTCTGGTTGAGGGTTGTTCTTTTGGCAGACAAGACATTCACCCTGTACCTGGGAGGCCGGGGTTGTAAGAGCCCCCCTGCCAGCGTATAATTCTTTGTTTCTTCACCAGGGTCAGTTCTTAATGTCTTTTGTAGTCAGGA